TGTGCTGACTCCTAAAAACTGGATCCTTACGTGCCGTATGGTGATGTTTTGTCAGGCAAATCAAAAGCCACAGCCATAAAGGTGTTCTTCATCCTGGGGTTCGGAACAAAGCCTACGTCGGCTGTTTGGTGCCAGCGGATTTCTGGGAAGGTGTCATCTGTTGAGTTTTCTTGATAGGTGGCCAGCTGTGCAAATAATCACTTATCAGATTTTGGAGAAATACAAAAATCTGAGAGAACAGTCTGGGCTGTTTATTTTACTAATTAAAATAAGGAAATATGTATTGGGATAAGCCTATGAAAACCTTTTCTAAGATGTTAGAACATCACGCACTTGGACAAATCCAAATGGGAAGTCGACAGCCGTCTGCAACCCTGAGCCTTGGTGGAAGGCCATCCTCCAGTCATTAACCATAGCCGGGAATGAACAGTTGTACTTGTCCTTGTGATAATGTGCATTTGCTTCACCTGAGATATTGACAATTTGAACTTAAAATCACGACAAGAGTCATCTGAAGGCACTTCACACAGTAAACATTCTAACACAGTTCGGTTCATTAAGCCAATCAGTAAAAAGTTTCCTATATAAGGAACCCAGCAGGTTGCATCGAGTCACTGACTAGTGTCAGTGACTTTACAGCAATCCTCACAGTAAGCAAGCATGCAGTGACAGTGGAGAAGAAAACTCCCTTTTAACAGGAAGAAACCTCCAGAGGATCCTGGCTCAGTATAAGCAGCCATCCTCCACGATTCACTGGGGATCGAGAAGACAGAGCAGACACACACACACAAGTCCAAACACACGGAACCTCCCCCCCATACACCCACACGCAACATATGATGTGTATATATCAAGTAACATATATTCCTGCAACGAGTTACAGTAATCCAGCCCAGTGTTGTTCCTTTGATCCCTACAACATGTTCAAGCCTTTTTAAAAGAATATTGTGATCAACTGTGTCAAAAGCAGCGCTGAGATCCAACAAAACCTGAACAGACAAACGATTACAATGTAATATTCAATCGTGTTCTAAAGAAATGAATAAATAATCTACTCATTGAGTGTCCTGTCAGTAAGGGTCATGTTACCTTGATACCAGATGGCTCCATAGATGCTGAAATTGAGGAGTGGGTGGATCATTGCGTTCCACAAAACAGAGTTATTGTTTTTGGTGCTGAGGTAACAGGAAACAAGTCAGAGATTATCAAACAATGCATAAAACTGTCCAGTACTCTGGTTGATGTGTTATCCTTACCTGTCCCCAGCCAGCTTCAGTCCACACTGCTTTAGAGCTCTGGACGATGACCATGCTTCCACAGGGGTGCCCCCCCAACAGGACTCTACTAGCCCTATGGGATATTTCAAATAGTCGTACATGTGGCGACCAAAGAGCCAGCACACGGCAGAAAACTTTCTCAGAGTGTCTGAAAACACAGCAGCTCAATTAGCCAGTATAACGAGAGCTAAAAACAGAAACCACACATTTAACTAGGTCAAGGCAGATCCTCCACCTTTTACAGTATTAACATTCAGAATCACCTCCAAAACCAACATGCTGCTGCAGGATAAGAGCAGCTTACCGTCAGTTTTTCAGCTATGATGAATGTTGAAATAACTAGATTATTTTTTGCAGTGGTCAGAAAAAACCAAAGTCCCCAAAATAAAAAGAATATTGTCTGGCAGAAAATAATCTATAATGAATAAAACGGATCCTCTCTTTGCATTTGCATACTTATAAATAGTTTGTTATTTTATTTTGTGAAGCAACTTTCATTCTGTTCCACTCAGCTCTGTTCAGACCTATGAGACTTTTATTTTGACAGTTTGCAGTTTCAATAACTGTTTTCTTTCTTTGCTTCTGACAAAAATATCTCAGGCATCGTGGTTTTGTTTATAGAGATTAGGATGCTTTTGAGTGAATGTTGATTGCCTCAGATGTTGTTTGGTGCTGCATGCTTGCTGAGTTTCAACTTTGGTTTAATGAGAAGACGTCACAAGCTGACAATAAATCAGCCATCAATCATGTTACACCTGCCTGCTGTATGTTGTTCAGCCCGAGCGTGATTAAACACTCCCCAGCCAAACCCTGATGTCTCCTAGTTTTCTCTGAAGTTCATTATATGTGAAGAAAGAGAATTTTAACATGCACAAATCAGCCTTGTCTTTTTCAGGGAGCTACACCATATTTGGTCTCCAAGTCTGTAGATGCACTAAATCAGTAGCCTAGCAATTCCCACCAGGAGAAGACCTAAAGTAAGACCCAGGACACGCTGGAGGGACTGTGTCTCTCGGCTGGCCAGTGAACGCTTTGTGATTCCCACATAAAAGCTGGCCCAAGTGGCTTGGGAAAGCGAAGTCTGGGCGTCTTGACTTAGGCTGTTGCCCCCACGACCCGACTCCGGATAAGCCAAAGAAAATGGATGGAAACCAGTGCAAGTCCACAATGCAAGTTTGTTTGTTGCACTGACTAATAAAGTAGTTCAAACTTCTATGAGGCCTGAATTTAACAGAAAAAGTAACACTTTGAACTTATTAATAATTAAATGTGTGGTGGTGATTCAATGTTTGCCAAACCAAAAAAACAAGACCAGGCAGTTGTGGTAGTTCATACGCAGGGCCAAGAATTTCAATGTCCCAAAACGTGAAACTTGCATTTTCTGTTTGGCAAACTATAAACAAAAGGCAATATTCTATTGCTGCTTCTGTTCTGGTAAAAAAATAAACTACTGGCCCACCCCAGTGCATGCTGGTACCAGTACCAGTCGCTTTGGACTGACCTAATTTTGGGGCCGGGAAACCTACCACGTATGATTGTTTTATTCTGTTGTTAGCTGTGTTGTACAGCACTATGTGATATACTTATCTGTGAAAGGTGCTAAATGTTACTAATTTACTTTAAAAAGGCCTCAACATTCTGTCTGACAAAAATAAATAAATAAAATGAATAACCTACAAATAAACCTGGCAGAAAAACAAAATAATAATATAAAGAAACCCAAGAACCGATCTGAACAAAATTCTAAACAATGAAATAAACAATATATAGCTGCAAGATTATTTTTAGTATTTTCCAGCTGTATGGTTTCTCCATTTGCGCACCCAGTTTAAATAGTTTCATGTCTTACGTCTAATGTGATGAACTTCTTTTAGTTTTATGAACACAAACGTAAATGCTTGTGTTTTTAGAAGACTTCAGTAACTAAATAGAGATGCTCCTCTTACCGAATGCAGGCACAGACCAGGGCAGCTCCACTTGCATTAGATCAGTCAGCTCTGAGTCACTCATCCTGAAAGCCGTCATAAAAGTCCTTACATGAGGATATCTAGATGAAAGAGCCAGCTCCTCAGACGCGTTGAAGATCTATTTAAGTAAGAAAAAAAGCTAACCCACTTTAAACAGCAAAGCAGACAACTCACATATTCCTTCTCTGACCAACCAAATACTTGTTTCTATTGTTCTAACTCTGCAGACTAATTCTATCATTTTGAACTAATATCTTAATCAGAATTTCTTCAGCACTTCAGAGTGAAGTGGTAATCTGGCTCACAGTACCTGAGATGTTTGAAAGTGCATGTTGCTCTGACCTCCACACAGCCAGATATCTCCAAACAGCACATCTGTCAGTGTGTGTGTGCTGTTCTGACATAAAGCTGTCACATTATAAGGACCTCCAGCATCTACGGGGTCAAGGCTGACTCGCCAAATGCCTGAAAAAGTGGTGGTAACACATGAACTGTAAAGAAATGAAGTGATGTCAAAGAACAATATCAAAACACTCCAAGATGAAAAGAACAAAGAACAAACTCTTTTTACTAGAACAGGATCTGTACGTATTTGAGCTGTAAAAAGCTATGGACAAATTATCTGAGGGCTGATGAATCCCTAGCTATTTCATTCCTAACTGTCAAAAGTTGGTGATGAGCAAAAGTTGACATGAGAGCAGAGCAGCCTGCAAGAGTTTAAATCTGTGGCATTACTCATGAAGCAGAGTATGATGGCTTCTTGAGTTATGTGCAAGAGCTGACATGAGGAATTTAATTGTGGAAATGAGAACTTGGTTTTATGAAATGGAATTATTTGCTTATGATTGTTTAGTGTGTGATGAAATTTGTTCTCTACATTTGACCAACCCCCTGGAGGAGCGGTGAGCTGCAGACAAAGCCGAGCTTGGAAATTATTTGCTGGTTTAACCCCCCAATGTGACCCCTTAATGCTGAGTGTCAAGCAGGGAGACATTGGGCCCCATTTTTAAAGTCTATGCAATGACCCAACCATGGATTTGAACCCACAATCTCCTAGTTTCAAGGCAGGCACTCATACCACTAGACTACTGAGCTGGGCTGAGTTTAGTCCTATCATGTGAAACAGGGAACAATCTCTTCAGGTGTATGGGGTTCAAAAAGTGCCAAAAATATGTTATCACTTTGTCCTTAAAACTTGTTATCCGGCTGTTCACATTCTCTCTTACAACCTGTCAACAAGTTATTTAGTGTGGTGAGCATCTATCTAACTTTTGTTTCCAGGAAGTTTCACCTAATCTAACTTATGTTAGGTACAGTTTCGCAGCTGGTAGAGACATGCAGTAACCTTCTGTCACAGGTGCCGATGAGACTTTCTGTGTTGTTGTTCCTGACAGGTAGACTGTGACCTGTGACCCCTCAGGAGCGTATCCCCACAGCACAGCTCTCTGCGGAGACTTCTGGAGCACCATGTGATCTCCGTAATACGAGGCAAAGGACAGCTTCCCATCTGCTCACACAAACACCAAAATGAAACATTTAAAATTTGTCAAAAGAAATAAATCCAACATGGACATCATGTATCTTTGGTATTGGTTACAGATCATTTAAGTAAGGTATGTAGGCAGTTTCAGACTTCAGATAGTGTTGAAGAGGGTGAGGTCATGCACATTCATTCTCTGAGTCAATCAAACACAGATTTGGACAGGATTTTATAGTCACACTTAAAATATCATTATGCTCAAAGCAAAGTTAGAACAAAACCATGTATTCAATAACCTGCAGGGTCATTTTAATCAAAACACGTCAACCACTGTGCCATACAGTGATAATGGTTGTGATGTGCAGCTGGAGTTTGGTGTTCAGGGACGATCTACAAAGTGCAACCCCCTCTAACAAAAATATTGAATAACTTTATTTTCTTGTTCTGCTGTTATTAAATTCACAGTGGAGATTTTAAATTACCTCTTGTTAAATATGCCTTTTGGTTATTTTGCAGTGGGTGTGTAAAACGTGATCAGATCTACATAAAAATCATCAACGTTCCCTCGAATATGTGGCGCTTGTGCTGATTTAAAGGCATGTTTCAACAAATTTTAATGTTGTGAAAAATTTGACTGAAGACTCTTCAGGGAACATGTATGTGTAAAAGCTCTATTAGACGAAATCAGTTCTAAAATGTAAAAGCAACCAGCACAGGGTGATGCAACGGTAACATTTTTATATTTCTTGTTGCCCATAAGCACATGCATAGCACCATTCTGGACAAGCTGTGGGTAGTGCAGAAGAGAGTTGTTCAACGCAGCATAAAGAGCGTTAGTATTGCCTTTCATGTAGGGACGTCCCGTTCCGATATCGATATCGGAAGTAATTCGATAAAGGCCAAAAAACACCATCAGATTATATTGGACTGCATCAAAAATCTCAGATATAAGCAGTCCACTAAGGTTCAAATTTTTGCAACCAATGTTTAAAAAAATTGTCTTTTTTTCATACTTACTGTTATTGGCTCTTGTACTCTGATTGAGTAATATCACTTGATCAAGCCTTTCATACATTCCACAATACGAAATAGGTAAAAGTCTGTATGATTTATGCTGATATCGTATCGAGTTGATATTGGTGTCGGTCAATACTGAAGGCTGCAATATCGGTAAAAGTGGAATCGAGACATCCCTACTTTCAAGGCCACCATAGGGTACAAAAGGTTTGCTTTAGTGAATTAACCTCAAATAATAAAAGCTAGACTGTTCTACTGTACTGACCTTTAGCAAATTTAAAACTGTTATCAAAAATCTATCTATCTAATCACACTCAATTTGTCCAACTGCGCATCTTCCACTCTAACCCCAAGCCAGTTACCTCTGGAGTTCCTCAGGGCTCAGTCTTAGGTCCCCTTCTCTTCATTATCTACTTACTCCCACTTGGAACTATCTTCAGGAAATTTAATATTCATTTTCACTGCTACGCCGATGACAACCAGCTCTATTTCTCTACCCAACCAACCCCCCCCCCCCCCCCCCCCGCTCCCTTCATCCTCCCTTCTCAGTTGCCTCACTGAAGTCAAATCCTGGTTTTCTTCTAACTTTATACAGCTCAACAGCACTAAGACTGAGACCCTCCTCATTGGCACCAAGTCATCTCTGTCCAAGACCAGTTTATTCTCACTCAGCTTCGACAACACCACACTTCTCCCCACCGCCAAAGCTAAGAGCTTGGGTGTCATCTTAGAGAACACCTTATCCTTCATTCCTCATATTAACAACACAATAAAAACTGCTTATTTTCATCTTCACAATATCAATCGGCTCCGCCCCTCCCTCAGTCAGCACTCCACTGGTATTTTGGTCCACAGCCTGGTCACCAGTCGCATTGATTATTGTAATGCCCTCCTCTCTGGTCTCCCTCTAAAATCACTCAACAAGTTACAGTTAGTCCAAAATTCAGCTGCCCGGATAATCACTAAGACCTCCACTTTTGATCACATTACCCCTGTCCTGCAACAACTTCACTGGCTCCCTGTCAAACACAGAATTGACTATAAGATACTTCTTCATGCCTTTAAAGCCATCCATAATCTCGCTCCCCCTTATCTTTCTAATCTCCTCCACATTGTCACTCCCACTCGCTCTCTCCGATCATCATCTTCACCTTCCCTGTCTGTTCCTCGCACTCGTCTCTGTACTATGGGAGCCAGAGCTTTCAGCCACTCAGCTCCCAAACTCTGGAACACTCTACCACCTGACCTCCACAATATAAACTCCTTCTCAACCTTCAAGTCTCAACTCAAAACTCACATGTTCCACCTGGCTTACTCATTGTAACTGTCCTCCTTCCATCTACTATTTTTAGTCTATTATCCATTGTACTGCTCTGACTCTACCCATGGGAATTACTCTTAGCACTTATTTCTTGTTGTTTGTATTGCTTGCTGTTCCTTATATGTTGTCTTGTACAGTGACCTTGAGAGCTTTGAAAGGCGCTTGAAATAAAATGTATTATTATTATTATTATTATTATTATTATTATAAAAAAGTACACCAAGATTCCTGCCAGCAGTATGCTCATCTTCAATGAGAAACCAATTTTTACTTATTATTTCTGGAAATAATCGGTCATTCTGAGTTTAACGTGCAAGCTGAACATGGAAATAGTCTCCTCTGCTTGAGCTTCCGATAAAAAAGATGGTGAAACGCTATGATTTCAAAAGCCTCACCGCTCTACGTCAAGCTGTTGTTTGGCCTCACCCATCTTGGCTAATGACGGGGAAAGTTGTTGTTAGTTTAGCGTCCAGGAAAAAGTAGAGAACGTCTCGGCTAGCGCAAGCTAACCGTTTGCATTAGCAACTCCACCACACAGCAGAACGCCACCAGACTTGTTTTATTTGTGGAGAAAAAACATCAATTTGCAAACAAAGTCTGTGTTAAGAGTCTGATTGCTGTTATCCAGTCCGAGGCAAGATGTTCAAATATCAGGAAATAAGACTCCAAAACCAGCTGTGTAAAGCTACTTTCTCCTCCAGCTGAATTATCCGTGCTGATACAGGAGCATCTGAGCAAGTTGCAAACACGAACGGAGCCTGGATTAGTTTCAGCAACCCACTGGTTATGGGAAAACAGATGTTTGGACACAATGAAGGCTTCAGTTTTCTGATTATTGGTGACAGCATGGTGATAGGTATAAACGGGTGTCAAACTGCTGCAGAAAAGTGTTTCCAGATTGGACTGTTTTGCTTTGGGAGGGATTGACCTAATTTGGTCGGGTTCCAATTAGGCAGTTTTAAGCTAACCTTGTTGACAAACATTATAACCAATCATCATCATTAGTTGATAACAATGCCTCCTGACTACTACTAATTTACAATCATCACCTGAAAGAGTGTGAACAACAGACCTGATGTCCCTCTTAAACTGCAGTGATACCCACCTACGCCAGTTTCTTAAAAACGTTTTCGAACATCTTTATTCAAAAATATTACAAAATATTGGCTGGGTGAAATTTTTGTGTTAGTCATAAAGTTTTGAAAAATGTCACTCATGTGGCTTTGAAATCAGAGCTTTCAAAGTTCATCCTCCATCCATTTGTGTATTGTGTAACATTAACTACCCAGGTAGAGAGGCAGGACACTCACAGGTCAACCTTGTAACAATTTGAAAATAAGAGTAAAATTAGCTAATAATTAAGAAAGCTGGTGAAAGGTCTGATCATGTGCATTGAATCCTGGATATTATATTAAATGTCAGTTTGACCTGACCACTACTGGTGCTGGTCCAAACATTTTAAAGAAATCCACTTGCACAAAGTCTTGACTGAAATGTCCATTTTTCTGTATACCTGTGAGTTTTATAGGTTTCTGAGTATTCCTATAGAAAAAAAATTCGTGATTTCTACTTACTTTTTACTGAAAGGAGGTATTTAAATGGGACCTATTACACAGATATTACAAAATTAGGTGTAATATTTGCATTAGTAACCTATTGTTTTGCAGTTGAGATAAAAAAAATACACACAAAGATCCTTTTGCCTACTAATTATTAGCTTAGAACAGGAAAGGCATAGCTTGGCAAGCCATCCATGTGAATAATATATACAAGTGCTGGCCAGTAAATTAGAATATCATCAAAAGGTTGAAAATATTTCAGTAATTCCATTCAAAACGTGAAACTTGTACATTATATTCATGCAATGCACACAGACCAATGTATTTCCAATGTTCATTACATTTAAATTTGATATTCATAAGTGACAACTAATGAAAACTCCAAATTTGGTATCTCAAAAAATTAGAATATTCTGAAAAGGCTGAATATGTAGAAGACACCTGCTGCCACTCTAATCAGCTGATTTACTCAAAACACCTGCAAAGGCCTTTGAAAGGTCCCTCAGTCTTGTTTTGAAGGCACCACAATCATGGGGAAGACTTCTGACTTAACAACTGTCCAAAAGACAATCATTGACACCTTGCACAAGGAGGGCAAGACACAAAAGGTGATTGCTAAAGAAGCTGGCTGTTCGCAGAGCTCTGTGTCCAAGCACATTAACAGACAGGCGAAGGGACGGAAAAAATGTGGTAGAAAAAAGTGTACAAGCTCTAGGGATAACCGCACCCTGCAGAGAATTGTGACGACAAACCCATTCAAAAATGTGGGGGAGATCCACAAAGAGTGGACTGCAGCTGGAGTCAGCGCTTCAAGAACCACCACGAGGAGACTCATGAAAGACATGGGATTCAGGTGTCGCATTCCGTGTGTCAAGCCACTCTTGAACAAGAAACAGCGCAAGAAGCGTCTCGCCTGGGCCAAGGACAAAAAGGACTGGACTGATGCTGAGTGGTCCAAAGTTATGTTTTCTGATGAAAGCAAGTTCTGCATTTCCTTTGGAAATCAAGGACCCAGAGTCTGGAGGAAGAGCGGAGAAGCACAGAATCCACGTTGCATGAGGTCCAGTGTAAAGTTTCCACCGTCAGTGATGGTGTGGGGTGCCATGTCATCTGCCGGTGTTGGCCCACTCTGTTTCCTGAGGTCCAGGGTCAATGCAGCCGTCTACCAGGAAGTTTTAGAGCACTTCATGCTTCCTGCTGCTGACCAACTTTATGGGGATGCAGACTTCACCTTTCAACAGGACTTGGCACCTGCACACAGTGCCAAAACCACCAGCACCTGGTTCAAGGACCATGGTATCCCTGTCCTTGATTGGCCAGCAAACTCGCCTGACCTTAACCCCATAGAAAATCTATGGGGTATTGTGAAGCGGAGGATGCAATACGCTAGACCCAACAATGCAGAGGAGCTGAAGACGACTATCAGAGCAACCTGGGCTCTCATAACACCTGAGCAGTGCCACAGACTGATCGAGTCCATGCCACGCCGCATTACTGCAGTTATTGAGGCAAAAGGAGCCCCGACTAAGTATTGAGTGCTATACATGCACATTCTTTTCATGTTCATTCTTTTCAGTTGGCCAACATTAGAGAAACAAACATTTTTTCATTGGCCTTTAGAATATTCTAATTTTCTGAGATACCAGATTTGATGTTTTCATTGGTTGTCACCTATAAATATCAAAATTAAAAGTAATGAACATTGGAAATACATTGGTCTGTGTGCATTGCATGAATATAATGTACAAGTTTCACGTTTTGAATGGAATTACTGAAATATTTTCAACCTTTTGATGATATTCTAATTTACTGGCCAGCACTTGTACATGCAGAGCAGAATAATAAATGATGATCTGAACTCACTGGCCACTTTATTGGGTACACCAGGTATACTAATCAGCCGATCACATGGTGGCAACTCAATGCATTTAGGCATGTTGACATGGTCAAGATGATCCGCTGCAGCTCAAATCGAGCTTCAGAATGGGGAAGAAATGTGATTTAAGTGCTGTTAAGATAATTATATGTTTTCTTGTATCATGCTTTATGCTTTTATTACATTTAAAGATTTTGCCATGTATGCTGAACAGTTGCTGTATTGTTTGAAGTCTCATGAGGAGACTTTAAGAATGCTGAACCTTGGTCCTGTCCTAATGTGACCCAAGGATATCTGCTGACTTGGACAACTGCTGACTCGTGCAACTGTCTGTTGCACGTCGTGATTAGACACTGATTAGAAAAACTGAATGCTCTTTGTGAAACTTGTAACAATTACTAAAAACTGAACGCTGTGATTTCCCCCCATCCTTCAGTGTCAGCTCTCAGGCACGTCCCTAGGGACCCGCCCAGCTTGTAATAAGGACACACTCGGATTTCAAAGGCAGAATGGTTTTGGAGGATCTGCCGGTACAATGGAGACTGTGCTGGTCGGACCACCTTACCTCCATTCTCCTCGAGATTAAAACAGAATTCGGACTTTGTCTCTCTTTCCTTTGTTTTTGTTATGGTGTAGGGCAGTGGTTCCCAAACTTATTTAGCCGCGCACCCCCTTCTATGTCCCGACCATGTCGACGCCCCCCCCCCCCCCCCCCCCCCCCCCGCCCCACATCGGGGCATGGCTATATATATATATATATATATATATCAGATGTCAAGCTAAACAGACAGGGTTAAAAAAAATTCCCCATCACTTTCATTTTTTAAATAGTAATTAATAAACATTCGATACCATTACAATTTCCTTTGATTTCATTTAAAATAAATATTTAGAGTGCCCAGGTAGCACATAAACAATGCAATTTAATGGTTTTCTTAAAGTAGGAACGTTTAACCTGTGCGGCCAGAGCGCTCTCCTTCCTTCTGCTCTGTGTAAACCTGAGCTGATCACCTACTTGTGCGTAATCAAATGTCAATAGGGGACAAGATATAGCCATGAGGTTCACTTTTACCTCAGACTGACTTATTGCTGTTTTATGGTGTGGCTGAATCTGCGATCCGCTGCCACGCTGACTGGAATAACAAATGCTGCAGTAACAGGACTTGTGGTCAGGTTCATGAGGAGTCACTGGCTGGAGCGGACCCGACTCATCCCAGAAGCTAATATCTTAATTTGACCTTGAATGAAAAATAACCTCTTAAAAGTTTTTATCGTGGTGGAGGCAGCGTTCATTTCTGCCTTCAGTCTGACTGCGCGCCGGAGTTAAAGCAGCGTGCGCGCTTATTGAACCTGTGTGCCGCGTGCGCGCGCGGCATAGCCGCTCAAGTAACCGCGTCTCGTTACTGGCGCTATTTAAACTTCTGCCCAGCCCAGATGTGCTCACATGTGCACCCGTGAGCCGTGGTTCCGCTGGAACTCGTCTGACCTCTGACAGACGCACTCTGAACTTCAGATCTTCAGCGCGCTGTCAATAGCCTGAATGGGAATCATTTCTTGTTATTTTGTTACATCCACAATGTTCTGTGTGTGAGGTTTACAATGTCAGAACACCTGCATGAGACAGGGTGTTAATTACAATCTGCCAGAATGACTCGCCACCTTCAGATTTCTTCAACACCGTTAAAAATGATCAAATACGGAACATATCGGCGTGCGCAGGCCAGAGTGCTGAAGCTCGGCGCATTGTTATTATGAAGCTAGGGCACATGTGGAGGACACACACGCGCGCAAAATATACTTGTTTTCAATTACATTTATTGGGCCCACTTACTTTTTCTTTGGCCCACCCACAAATGAGTTTCTACGCTAATGGTGACATATGACAGACTTCTCTGAGCTCCGCAGCCATTACACTTTTCACCTCGTGCACCCCCTAGCGGCAGCTCGCGCACCCCCAGGGGTGCGCGCACCACACTTTGGGAATCCCTAGTGTAGGGGTTTAAACCTGACAAGTGCCTTTGAACGTGACACAGTTGTTGGTACCAGACGAGCTGGTCTGAGTATTTCAGAAACTGCTGATCTTCTGGGATTGTCACTCACAGCCATCTGGGTTTACAGAGAATGGTCTTAAAATGGAAAGCATCCTGAGTGCAGCAGTTCTGTAGGTGAAATTATCTTGTTGATGCCAGAGGTCAGAGGAGGATGGCCAGACTGGTCCGAGCTGATAGAAAGGCAGCAGTAACTCACTCGTTACAACCAAGTTATGCAGAAGAGCATCTCTGAAGGCACAACAGCACTACAGCAGCAGACACTGGGTACAACTCCTAAGAACAGCAACCTATGGCTACAATTCATACAGGCTCATCAAAATTGGACCGTAGAAGATTTAATAAATGTTGCCCTGTCTGATGAGTCTCGATTTCTGCTGCGACAGTCGGATGATCCTGACACCTACATGTGAAGCTAAAGGTCTTTTCTACTTACCACAGCTGTGTAAAGCAGCTAAAAAAACAACAACAAAAGCCACAGTCATGTCAGGTAAGGCTAACCAAGTAAAGGCTAACAACGGCTATGCACGTGACTAATCAACACATTGTTAAAACTTCGTGTGGCGCATCTGAGTTACTACGCACCTTCAAAATAAAAGCATGTTTGAACTTACATTTTAAAATATAAATATTTCTAAAGTGCGTCCAGTGAATAATTTCAATTCATTTGTAAATATTATAATTTCTTGTTATCATTTTGCTGATAAACATATTTTTTAAATAACTGGAAATTAGCAAGGCTGTTAACTCAAACGCATTGAGAACATTTGACTGACACGCTCTCACGCCACACCTCCAATTTCTCAAGTTGAAAGAAAAAATGAATCTATCTGAACTACACATTGCGTCACGTTATAAAAAAGCTACGTGTTCAGTTCCATTCAGTTCGACTTTACACGAGCGAGGAGGAAATGACGCCATCCAGTGGCGAAAAGTTTCAGTTAATCTTTGGTTGTGGTAAACCATTCGGAGAAAAAGATGACCCTCCTTATCTCAGTGAAGCTGGAAAACTTCTAATGGTATCCTTTTGTGAGAATTCACGTTATCAAGAAGAAGGATGAGAATGTAGCAGGATGAGGTAACCCTGCTCCTGTTATAAAAACACCTGGCCCCGTCAGTCACCAGTAGGGGAGCTGTGGGCATAAAAAGCAGACCCAGTCTGTTTCTTTCATTGCTCACGGCAGTAGCTGCACTTAAGCTGAACATGTGTTGGATCGCGCTGGGGACTCTGTTAAAAATATAAAATAGTGCTCCAGTGTTCATTTAGTTGTTCCTAACCCCTGTTTTGTCCAGGCTGGAGCCAAGGGTGGTGGCAGTGGTTCTCTTGTGGCGTTTGCTTTGTGGGACTGGGAGCTGGTGTTGGTTCCTTTCACGTCTGCGTGACTGCTCACTAGTGCTTTGGGTGATTTTTGTATTTAGTTTTTCTTATTTTGCTAAAACCTCCAGTGGTCCCACTTGGTAAGCTCCAGCCTTGTGACACTAGTTATTTTTCTTTGTTTAAATTCCCCTTTTTTAAATTAGTATTTTAACAGCCTTTTAAAACTGTCTTTTATTAAACGTAGTGTTTAATAAATTAGAACTTTTTGTAACCTCATTTCTGTCGCCTTTTTGGAGCATGAACCTTCTTTTGCCTAGAGGTATCTAATTTTATTTCCTTGGGTGAAATTCCCAAGGTGGCGTTGTGTGTTCTCCCAGTTTGAGTAGTAAATAATCAAGGTTAAAGGGCTACATAAAGAAGGTACCCTACCACGAGCTCCACCACATTTGGCGTTGTTGGCAGGATCTTAACTTTTTAATATTCTGCTTAGTACCGACCCATTCCGCCACAATAATATGAACTGCGCTTTTAAAGTATAGTTAGTAGAAACCCTTCCATAAATTATTTCAAAATTAAAGGCTACAGGTTCTCGCTTTAAGCCTTTTCCCCTTTTCATTTATCAAAAACACAATTAAAAATATACTTGTATAGTAGTGTTAGACACAATATTGGCGGACTGGCGCCTAACATTTAGGTCAAATGGATGGATAATGCAGCGTTCAAGATTAAGGAATTTCTGCCCTCTGGTGGACAAAAACTGTTACTGCAAACAGCGGCCATAAAGCTAAACACATAATCTTTTTCTGTAGATTCCTTCAAAATTAAACAAACCACTTAAAATTACTATGATTTTTTTAATAGCATAATTAGTCTAAATAAAGGGAAGCCAAAATGCCTTAACATATATAAACTACTTAACTTCTAAAACTCAACAAATCTATTTAAATGATCAGTGTTCAACACGACTGAACGATAGAAAAGGAGGAGCAGGAGGTAGAGGAAAAGGTATAGATGGGTTTGAAGAGTTGAAAGAACCTGAAAGAAGACCAAATTTGACTCAAATTACCATGCCATCAACCATGGACTGACAATGGAAGCTGGACAAAGATTTCAACCAAATCTCACTAGAAATGCTTTTGCATCTGTAAAAAGACATTTCATCGAGAGTCCAGGTTAGCTACCCACATAGTAGGCCTACATTGAAACTGAAGCTTGCTGTCCCTATCATCCATATTGTTGACTGTGACATTAGGCTGCATGAGTATTTATTTTACAGTAATATATTTTTTACATAGGGTCAAGGACACTAAGGTGGAAGGGGCCCTACGTTCACTCATGCACAAGAAGCTGCCATTGTGAACATGGTTTTGATCAATAATTGTATCAGGTTGCAAGAAATCCAAGCTAATATCAATGACCATATTTTCTTTAACAATCAATAAGTCTGTCAACATCGGGTGGAAACCTCAAGAAAAATCAAATATACATCAAGCAACTGTATCGGGTACCATTTGACAGAAGTTGTGGGGGTATGTATTGTTCATCTTACTGTGGTCAGTGTTGGGAAAGTTCATTTAAAAAAACAAACTAGACCAAAGTTCATTTCATACATTTTAAAACAAACTAGTTAGTTTCTTAGTTCGTAATTGAAAAAATTGAACTAAGTTCACTGTTCCAAAACGAACTAGTTCAGTTCTTTTTTCCTCATGTTATTGAGAATATACTTGTAACCAGGTCACCTTAGTTCCCGGAAGTAATTCTGGTTGTACGTGTCATGCCGCTGACACAGGAGAGGCCAGGTGTGTAATCAGAGGGCTGCTTAGGGCAGCTGGGGTCTAGCCGCAAAAAGCCGAATGCCTCGCTTTGGGTGCAGACGTGGGTGCAGCTATAAGTGTGTGAGCAGGACTGAGGGGTGAACAACCAGGAATTTACATTGGCAAGCGGTCGGCCGATGAGATCTTAGCCTGCTACTGTTTTTCCAGTTCTCTTATTAAATCTTTTCCAGTTCATTTATTAAACCGTTTGCCGGTTCTATTTTATTATTAGTCGTTTTCTCTAGAGGGGGAAGGAAGCAAACTTGTTTGTGAGTCTGGTGGTTAGCGTTAAGCACAGTGCTGTCTCTGGGAGGCTAGTTTCTTTTAGAGTATCCGCTGTAGGGGTTTGTCGGGGGGTTTACTCACTTCTGGGTGGCGTGTGTATGAGCTTTAGTTAAAGGAAGCACTGGGTGTTTTTCTTTATATTATTGTCTTTTGTGTCGGTTCCCTACAGCAGCTTTATGCTTTTAAATAGTAGTTGTATGGCGTTGTGTGTGTAGTCCCAGGGCCAGCATTGTCGTCGCTCTTCCCTCCTCTCGTGTGTAGAGTTTTTAGTGTTTAGAGTTTTAGCCTATTCCTTTTATCCCTACCTGGGTTGTTTTTAATAAATCTCCTGTGCTGTGTCTTATAAATAAAATTGTTAAACTTGTTTTCATCAAGGGTTATTATTACCTACGGTTTTAGGATCTAAGCATCCAACCCTCTAGGTCACATACTGTAGGGTAAAAACTGCAGCTGGGTATGAGTGTGGACTGAACCTGTACGTTGCACTCGATCCCACATAATAAGTTATTATGCATTTTTGGCATTAATTGGGTAATTTCTCTAAATCTCCCAAAATGCAGTGAGATGAATCCTAATGAAGGACAAAGTAATTAATGTGTATAGACTAAAACAACAGCATGAAAAATGTCAGCAGATGTAACATTAAATATCCAACAGTTTACCTGCCAGGTGTTGTTTTACCAAAGGATTTTAGGCACTGGCCTGTGGAAAAGACAGATGAGCACACAGAGTTCTGTTGGCACGGTGATTAAAACTACATTTCAGCAGAAATAAGTAATGGATGTACACAAATGAGAGTTTGGGACAGTTGTTGGCCAATCTGCAAAATAACTCAACTGCTGCATAAAAAAAAACAAACAACTATTGAGCATTTCCATTGAAAGCAAAACAAAATGAATAAAAGCACAATTATATTAACTGGGTTCATTTAATTTTATTGCATAATTTGGCTCTTGTTCCAGACATGTTTTAGCTCCTTCTTAAAAATGGCAGATTAGTAAGCTAGCTATAGTCACAAAGCTGTGCAAGGCAACTTAATTTTAAAGACATATAAAACTTTTTACGTATATAACAGATTTCATTTCTTTATTTACATATTTTTTAAATATATCAAAGTAATCTTTGCTGTTTAAAGGAATACTTAACAAATTTTCATTTTTTAAAATACTTTTTTTGAGCCACTATGTGCTAAAATGACCCTTTACAGCGTTAATGAAAGACAACCCAGCCCCTCCTGTAGACACTAAGGAAGGCTGGGAGACATTTCAGCTGTTAGATTAGAATAGAATAGAATAGAATAGATTAAAATAGAATAGAAAACTTTATTTGTCAATTTCTTCAAATGTGCTTGTCATACAAAGGAATTGAAATGACGTTTCACACTGTCCCATGCGTAGACATTGACAACATAAAGTGCAGATGCACAACAAAAACAGCCCTAACAATAAGGTCATCTTAAATAGGTAACAGGATAGACAAGACCTAACCTATAATCAAATAAATTAAATAAGGTGTTCCAACAGTGTTCCCTGGAAGTAGTATACTAGTCTACTTGAGGTAGTCCCAGGTTGTGGTAGTTAGGGGTTTATGTTTTAATGCAGCATAAGACTATAGCCACAGTAAGCGTAATATCAGTAATGTAAATAGTGCTAAAAATATACTAAAAATATACAGCAGCAGGTGTGTGCAATTGCAATGCAGAGGTAGTTGTTTCCAATCAGGAATGTTTCCCAGTTCTTGGTTCAACGAGTATTTCCTTGTTGGAAAATGTGCGTGGATGGGGGTGGGGGTGTAGAGTCCAGTCTGCCTTCCTATACTTCTGTCACACTAGTGATTCTGCTGGCTGGGAGCCGGGAGGGAAGAGAGTTCAGCAGTCTCACAGCCTAGTGGATGAAGCTGTTGGTGAGCCTGGTAGTGCGGGAGCGGAGACTTCTGTATCTCTTCCCAGAGGGCAGGAGGCTGAACAGACAGTGCGCAGGGTGGGTTGTTCGTTGACGATTGTGATGGCTTTGCGGGTGAGGCGAGCGGTGTAAATGTCTTGCAGGGAGGGGAGTGGTGCACCAACTATCCTCTCAGCTCTTCTCACAATGCGCTGTAGAGCTTTCCTGTTA